CAAAACACCATTCCCGGGACTTCGACACCGCGAATCAATGTAACTGCTGCGCCCTGACACTCATGAACCGCTCCTAAACAGCATCTCTGGTACGTTAAAACATGGTAACCCGTGAACAGATTGCAAGTGTGTTAACGAATGCGCGCGGTGCTGAGTCCATAACCACATTTTGAAAAGGAACCGCCCTCAATGCGTGAAACTCTTACAGTGTAAAGAAAAGAATGCACGTGACGCTAAGGGAGCGCATTGTGAAAACCACCCGCCTTGAATCCGCGAAACTCTTGAGAATGTTTGAAACGAGCGTGCGAGGCACGAAAGCGCGAACTACATTTTGGAAGCGGCCCGCCCTCCATCTGTGAAACGGTAGCCAATTCGAACGTTCAGGGCCAGAGGTGGTAAAGAAGCCTCAAGCGAAACGCCCAGCCCTCCCTTCCGACCGGCCTCGGGGTGCGACAGGGAGTTCTTCCTGATGAAAAAGAATGGTGGAGGAGGACGAGGAGGAGGAGGAGGAGGAGCAGGAGGAGGAGGACGAGAAGCAGGAGGATGAATAGGAGGAGGCGGAGGCGGAGGCGGAGGCGGAGGAGAAGCAGGAGGCGGAGGAGGAAGAGCCGGAGAGGAGAAGGAGGGGTGCAGCGCAGCGACCCGCAACGGAGGTTCCACGAGCGGAGCGACGGGTGTGCCCACCCGCGGGATTCGCCCCGCACGAGCACAGCGACGGGCGACCACGGGGTCTGCAGGGGCATGCGCCCGTCCGCGGATGGCCCGTCTGGGGTTACGATGTTCCAACCTCTTTACCCTCGATCACCAGACAGACTTTCGAGCACCAAGACATTACCGAAACTGGGGGGTTTTCACGTGTCGGGCCCTGGGAGGCGGTACTCGTTCGACAGTGTTTCGACACTATTCTGGGTGCTCGAATTTATTTCTGTGATGTAGTCCTCCAGTAGGATGGGAACAACATAAATCTGGGGGGGGGCAGCGGAGCGACGCGCTGCGCGCAGCGACACTAGATCGAGGGTTGCCAGAAGTGCACATGGCCCAAGGTTCCCCCAGCGTCTCGCTCGAGTCTGGGGGCCGTGAGGGCTCTGGAAGCCGTGGGGGCTCTGGAGGCCCCCTGGGCCTCGTGTTAAGGTGCTCTGGAAGCCGTGGGGGCCTCCCTGGAAATCCCGGGGGCACCTTGGGCAAGGGGCACTTCTAGCAACACTCGCAGCGACATCCTCATCGCAAGACCTGGCTTTACGCGTGAGCGCTCGTGCACCCCAAGCAGGCACACAGCATGGCGAAGTGTGCACGCGCGGTCTGTAGAGGACTGTCTTTCTTGCAATCATCACATACATGGCTTGTCTTCTGTCCGACCTCAGTCATCTGCCCGACCTCGACGCCAGCACCATCCAGCAATCGGTCATACAAGCAATACCTCCTCAAACGTGACCTGCCCCCACATGTTGGCCTCTCCTGCAGCTGGCAGCACAGAGTGGTGTAGCGTCAGGATACCCGTGTAGTACAACGTGAACCTCTGCTGCCAAGGGTCCATCCTACCGCCTGTGATGTGAATTCTGCGCCACTAGGCTGGCTGGAAACACATCTCAAGAGACTGGCGTTGCCTCTGGACGGCGTGTTCGGTCTCTGGCCTCTAAAGTCCTGCATCTCAAATGGCGCCACTGCCCGATGGTCTTGGGTTCCGCGCTGAACGCCTGAAACCCCGCATGCCGGCTCGTTCCCAGCGAATGACGAACACGAGGAGGAGACACCCCGACACGACGCGGAGAAGCGTGTCGTATGGTACGGTTCTCCAGCCTTGGTGACACGGCGGCGGGCCTTGCCGCGGGCAGCTTGAGATACCTGCCCCTACCACCGAATCCAGGCTATCCGCTGGCACCCTGAATCTTCAAGCTTCAAGAGGAGCACGTCGAGAGCTGCCTGCCACTCGAACAGCTTTGAGGGGGCGTATAGTTGGACTTGATATCCACGCCACTTCGTGTTCTGACCAAGCCTTGACATGCCTAAGACAAGGTCGTGACGATAGACATAGACTCCCTTCGGCGTATACACGCTGATGAACAATTCGTCGAAACACGCCTTCCCACCGTCACTGCATTCAGCCAGTTTGATTCCAGCGAATGCAAGTTTCCAGCGCTCGCCACTGCGATCCCATAGCAAGCTGGAGCTCTTGCACTCAATACGGCGATCATTGCGCTTCCAATCGTACCGCGCTCGGTTAGTGCGATCTGAACACGCATCAGGGTCTGTGATGACCGACCCGCCGTGCAAAATGGCATCCACCCTACGAACCAGCGACTCGATTCGAAGACCGCGCGCCGCAGATGACACCACGCTCAGCGGGCTGTCCGCGTAGATGTCTTTCCTGAGGCTCGAAACACTTGACTCCAATACTTTGGAGACGCGGGGGTCTGTGCATTCCATCATTGCCACGCGGCGACAGCTGTTGGAACCGCAGTCCAACTTTCGCAAAATCTTCACGGAGGCCTTCTTCCAGTCCTCCTCACCACGCGGCCCTCTGATTACAATTTGGTGTCCAGCTGCACGTGTTCTTTCCAGACCTACAGTAGAAACACCCAAGGCTCCATCGTGAACGTAAAAATGCAAATTGTGTGGATCAAGTAAGACAAGGACTAACTCGTCGAACGCAGCTACCTCCCTGCCAGCCTGGTGTGCGAATTTAACAGCACCGAAGACAAATTGCCACGACCTTAGAGAAGGAAGCCACTGCATCTGGGAAGACTTGCACTCAATCCGCAAGCCATCACGGCGCCAATCGTACTCGCTCCGGTGAGCTCCGCGCTGGGATCCGTCAGTGCATTTGCTAGCAGCAGGGTCCTCGAACTTCGAAGTTGGATGTATATCAACATCAATTCGGCGTGCTAGCTTTGCAAGAACCATGCCGCGCTCTGCCGGCTGTAGACCTTTGAGCGGGTTGTCTCTGAATGCTTCTGTGCCAGTGGTCGCAGGTACATCATACAATAAGTCATTGAAGTGGTGAGCTGACAACACCAAGTAGCGACCACCTTGCGCGAACCTGGAGGTGCATCCTGCCTTGAATGTCCTGATCCATGACGCACACCGCAACATGCATGCACCGTTCAAATTTCAACCAAGAACCCATCCAACTAAAAACAAAACTTGGCTTCAAAGTTGCAACCTTGAGCCAAGGACTGGATGAAGTAGCCGCACAGGCCCTCGGATCGACTCTCAAACATCGCGCTCCCTGGAGGGCTGTCGACTGCGCATATGTCGCCACCCTCGTGGGCTCCTGTGAGATCCAGCGCAGTGACGCGCTACGCGCACCCAGACAAGACCTCGCGTTCCAGGGGGGGCGGGGCTGTAGGGGCCAGCTTCGTTCGCAACTGCACTGCCGCCACTCTCGTGCCCTCCTAGGAGGTGCAGCGCAGCGACGTGCCATGTGCACCCAGACGAGACCTCGCGCTCAGTGGGGGGGAGTGCAAGCTTCGCAACTGTCGCCACTTTCAGGAGCTCCGGGGAGGTCCAGCGCAGCGACGCGCTATGCGGACCCAGACTAGAGCTCGCTCTCTCTGGGGATCTGCCAACTACGCAAACTGTCGTGACCGACGTCTACGCGAGTTGCCTTGACCAGTAAAGTGTAGGGCTGTGCGCGACATCTTTCGGAGGAGATGGAGAAACAAATGGGAACGGGGCAGAGAATACGGGAGTTCAGTATATAATGTGGTGTTGAGCGGTCTAGTTTATGGCCGCCTGGCGTTTCGAATTTAGAAAGGGATGGCATTTCCCTGGGTAATGTGTGCTTTGATGTGTTGGCATAGTTTGCCTGCGTTTCCTTCCTCCTACCTCATCAATCCTCGCTCACCATCGTCGGTCGTCGTTCTCGTCATCATCACACCCCTCCGCTTTCTGCTAACCTTTGCCCACGACGATCGAGAAAAAGGATATCGGAACTTCTGGTCCGATTTGAGCCTCGGTGGCTTTGAAAGCCTCTGGGAACTCCCTGGGGTCAGAATCCGGGGCTGGATTCCAACGTACGACCTCCTCGTCCTCCGTGTCCTCCTCCCCCTTCCCCTTCCTTCCCTATTCCATAACATCCGCCGCTCTGCGGTTGATCGGGAGTTTCTGTATATATAGAAGAAGGGGCGCGCGCTTCTGGGCGAGAGGGAAACGACCGAGAGAAGAAGGGGCGGCCGCCCCACAGGACCTCTCCATGGTGCCGGAAGCCCATCAGCCCCCTCCCCCTCCTCCTCCTCCTCCTCCTCCTCCTCCTCCTCCTCCTCCTCCTCCTCCTCCTCCTCCTCCTCCTCCTCCTCCTTCGCCCCCGTCGGCATATCCAGGCGTGTTATGCAGTTAGGTCGTCCGTCCGGAAACAGTGCAACGCTCTGGGCTCCTCTGGGCATCCCCCCGGGGCCCGTTTTGTGAGGATGTCTCAAGCGAGGGCGCCGGTTTGGGATTCGTCACCGGATCCAGCGGATCCAGCGGATCCACCGGATCTGTCCGGAAACGGTGCCGTAGGCCGCTCTGGGCTCCTCTGGGCA